ATTCCACCAACATTCCAGCTCTCCAGACAGGACTTGTCTGATCCCCAGGCTGAGAGTTCCAACTACAGGTCCCAGGCGGATTTAATTACCCACAGAGATAGGTACATCCTGCACTGGACCTCATATCAGAGATCCCTAAAGGTATAGGTCAGGAACCTGGGAGATCTACAGTATAAACCCCAAACAGGACTTTCCCAGGGTTCCTTTGGGATGTTCTGCCACAACAGATAAGATGCAAGACGTGTGTGTTCCTTTGCTGATATTAGGGTTGGTTTACTAAAGGTTAACCACTTCAAGTCCGGACACTTTTACCCCCTTCCTATCCAGGCCAATTTTCAGCTTTCAGCGCTGTCACACTTTGAATGACAATTGCGGTCATGCAACACTGTATCCAAGTTTTAAGCATTTTTTTAGACCGATAAAACTTTATTTTGGTGGTATTTATTCACCACTGGGATTTGTATTTTTTTGCTATATAAATGAAAAAGTCCAAAAATTTTGAAAAAAAAGTGTTTTTCTTATACAATTTTGCAAATAAATCTTACTTCATAAATCTTGGCCAAAATGTATTCAGCTATCTTTTTAGTAAAAATAAATAACCCAAATTAGTTTCAAAATAGTTTTTTACATTTTTATTTTTTTTTTTTTATATTAGTATTTATGTTTTTTTAACACACTGTCACCCTAGCAGTAGAGTGTCACCATGGTGACACTGTACTACTTGTGGGAGGTGATGAAGGTTTTGTTTTTTTTTTACACTGATTGCTTTTACACCCATAAAGGCTGTAAAAGCAATAATTTCTCCTTCTCTCTGACTGCATTCTTGCAGCCATTGAGAAATCCTGTGAGAGCTGTGGTACATGGTACAAGGCTGTAGTGAATAGCCTTGTACCATGTGACCTCTGTGATCATTCACAGATTTCACAAGTAGTAAGCAATGATGTCAGAAGTTATTTAAGGAAGGAAGGCAGCAAATGTTGTACATGCTGGTTACAGTGCATTTCTCTCCTAAATTCTGAGGAAAATGGGTTGTTCCAGACATTGTTCAGAAGAACAGCGTACCTTGATTAAAAAGTTGATTGGAGAGGGGAAAACATATAAAGAAGTGCAGAAAATGATAGACTGCTCAGATAAAATGATCGCAAATGCTTTAAAATGGCAACCAAAACCTGAAAGATGTGGAAGAAAGCCAAAAACTACCATTGGAATGGATAGAAGAATAGCCAAAATGGCAAGGACTCAGCCAACAATCAGCCCAGGAAGATGAAAGAAGGTGTAAAGTTCCCTGTGAGTACTGTTACAATTAGAAGACGCCTATGTGAAGCCAAGCTATCTGCAAGAAGCCCCCGCAAAGTCCCACTGTTGAAAAAAACACGTGCTGAAGAGGTTACAATTTGCCAAAGAGCACATTGACTGGCCTAAAGAGAAATGGCGCAACATTTTGTGGACTGATGAAAGTAAGATTGTTCTTTTTGGGTCTAGTGGCCGGAGACAGTTTGTCAGACGACCCCCAAACACTGAATTCAAGCCAGAGTACACTGTGAAGACAGTGAAGCATGGTGGTGCAAGCATCATGATATGGGGATGTTTCTCATTATACGGTGTTGGGCCTATTTATCGCATACCAGGGATCATGGATCAGTTTGAATACATCAGAATACTTGAAGAGGTCATGCTGCCTTATGCTGAAGAGGAAATGCCCTTGAAATGGGTGTTCCAACAAGACAACGACCCCAAACACACCAGTAAACGTGCAACATCTTGGTTCCAGACCAACAAGATGGACGTTATGGAGTGGCCAGCCCAATCCCCGGATCTTAATCCAATAGAAAACTTGTGGGGTGACATCAAAAATGCAGTTTCTGAGGCAAAACCAAGAAATAGAGAAGAACTGTGGAATGTAGTCCAATCATCCTGGGCTGGAATACCTGATCACAGGGGCAGAAGTTGGTTGACTCCATGCAACACAGATGTACAGCAGTTCTCAGAAACAGTGCGACTACAACCAAATATTAATTATGTGATTCAAAGGAAAGCAAAATCTTCAAACATTTCTCAGTTTATATAGTGAATGTTTGAGTTTGTAAAGAAGAATACAAACACTGCTATTTTTTTGAACCGTCTAATATTCACTTTTCTTTAATTTTTTTAGAGGAACAACACAAATTTGATCTATTTTTCTTCATGTTTTGATTTGTAATAGAATGTGTCGTGTTCCCAATGCATTTGTGTGGATGGAAATAAAAGCTATTAGAAGGATTTTGAGCTTTATTCACTTTTTTCAACACACTGCTATTATTTTGAACACAACTGTATATACATGGGTCAGACGGGAAGTGGTTAATAGACCGTTCACTTTGCAACTTTTGCCCCAGATCTTGGTAAATGGGGGGATGCTCTGCTGACTTCCATCATCCAATCAAGTGCAAGGAAAAATTCTATATTTTTTTCCCCCTTGATCCTGCCCTTGTCCCTTTCCATGAGCTGCATGGAAGATGATCTTCCTTCCTTGCTACATTTGTGCTCCAAAGTTTGCATACCCTGGCAGGGCCATAGATCTTTTTTTTCCTGGGGGAATTCAGCCTTGGGTACCCAGAGAATAATTGTGCGCCTGCCACATTATGACAAATAGTGGGTGTGGCAAATTGTGCTAAAAGTGTAGGAGGGGCTTATAACATGACCCTCCTCACTGTGTACACTAAGACAAATGCCACAGTCCCTGCACCCAATAAATATGATTTAGAAACTGTGCTACACAAGCAAGAATCAACAGGCATGTACAAACCTCAGATATGAAACTCTACCATTGCATACACTTTTCTGCACACAGCCAGCCTACCTCGAAGAAGAACTTGATTAACACTGACCACTAAGCAAACACCATCAGTTGTACAATATGGTATAAATAGTGCAGGAGTCAGAAGTATGTCATGTACAGGACAGCGTATAAAATCCCCTTTAGGCAGAACTCCGATGCTGCAGATGATCTCTTGTTGGCGATCAATCTCACATACTCTGTCCTAACCAAGCGAGAGGTGACCAGAAATGCTCTGGGTCTGCCTCTCAAACCTGACATCCACATGGTCCTCTGGCTCAGCAGTCCATCTTCCGAGGCCAATCCTGTAGGCTGGATAGAGGTGGAACAACGGGCCACACTAGCCCTATAGCATAGCGGAGGGGTTAAAGCCTAACTCCATGTGCCTTTAAATTGTTTGAGCCAAACAGGTCCAGAAGAATTACCGTATTTTTCGCTCGATAGACTGTGTTAAATATCGTGAAACCTAAAATAATTCTTTAGTGTTGTCATGTTTCACATGATTGTCATATTGACTGTCATGTGCCTATAAGTGGTTTCTATATTTTGTATCTGCTCCTCTTTTTCCTCCGGTTTAATTAATGCTGTATAGATAGCCCACCCTTTTCCCCCGAAATGCATTGCAGCTCTAGCCTCATGTCATGAAGCAGGACACATTATGATCTTTTCACCGATGTTCATTGTTGTAAGATTCTCTCAGTTTATGGAATAAACTTCGCAAGATCTACAAGATATCATCTCGATTGAGTCACTGCCTGTGGTATCCAACTGAGGTTGAAGTTATCGCTATCTCATCACAACTGTAAGTTACAGAGATCACACTTTCAATGCTTAGATTGGAGAGACGGAACAAGTGTCTATAGGCGATTTTGGAAAAATTAAAGAGCCGGCGAAGTAGAAAATAATTTGATTTATTAATAAAATAATAAGAATAATAAGAATAAATAAGAATAAATAATGTGATTTTATTTTATCAAACAATGGCTTAAAATAACAATGTAAAATGTATCATGAACAGTTCTGTGTAGGTAAAACAGAAATATCAAAACAGAAGTTATGAAGATGTGTCACCCTAATTTTCATGCCCGTTGTTCTTCCATGTGGTGCTTCTTGTCCTGTGTTCTAGCAAGAAGGAGGAAGTGACGTGTATTTAGAGCCTCTTAGAATACATGTTCCAGTCTGTCAGTCCATAATGTCTTCATGCCATGCGTGTGTGTGTGTGAACTGCTCTTCGCATCTCTTAGGATGTCTTTTTATGATGCTTGTATACGTCATAATTCATGATCTTAGAACCTTGTATGGCAAACAATACTGCTTAGCAGAGCTTCATTGAAGGGAGGGGACACTACATATATGGTCTTTTAATTGACAGACCCATATGTAATGACCCCATAAGCTGGCAATGTTGCATCAGCCTGCTCATGTGATCAGTCTCTCTGTTTAAATGATAATAGAAACTAAGAATTTATCTTTGCAACATAATATCTCAATAATGTTGTATAACCAAAAATCTACTTGTGTAACACATATTACCAACTTATAAAACATAAATTAATTACACACAGATACTATTAGAATATATATTATTTCATACTAATTCCATTTTGGTTCACTCCCATGACATTCTATACCAAAGACCTTTTAACCAGCTATGCCCTTCTATGGAATACTCAGCTTTCAGCTAGTTAGCTGAGCTATAACTGAAGAATTTAACATTCTCACTTGTTCAATGTCAATCACACATTTTAATATTAATAATGATTAATCATAAAAACCAAATATTTTGCAAGCTTGCCATCAATATAATATAGGTGGCAATTTATGCATTTGGAATTAATGTTTATCAAAGACGCCTTCCCCCCCAAAAAAAAAAATTGGGGAAAATGTCTGTGGGTCATATGGTGCGAATATGGAGCTGCCGGCCCGGTATAGCCACTGCCGTGTTAGAATATCGGGACAGCTGCTCGGCTCTTCTGTGCTTCTTGGTCCTGCCTGTTCCTTGGTCCAGTGCTGTCCTCACCGTCTTCTGTCCCGGGGGCCGGCATCTTTAGTGTGGGCACCCAGCTGTAACAGCTTGCGGCTTCAGAGCCGGGTGCCCACTGCGCATGCTCGAGAAGCGCTGCGCTTTGTGAATGGTCCTGCCGTCTTCTGTGACATGTCACGTGTCCCAGAAGACAGGGAGGGAGGACAACTATGCAGATGTGGGAGCGGGTACCCCCCCCTGCTCCCCAAAGGTACGCAGTCTCTGGTCATCTCCTGTACTGTGTCCACAGTCTCTGGTCATCTCCTGTACTATGTCCGCAGACTCTGGTCATCTCCTGTACTATGTCCGCAGTCTCTGGTCATTCCCTGTACTGTGTCTGCAGTCTCTGGTCATCTCCAGTAGTATGTCTGCAGTCTCTGGTCATCTCCTGTGCTATGTCTGCAGTCTCTGGTCATCTCCAGTAGTATGTCTGCAGTCTCTGGTCATCTCCTGTAGTATGTCTGCAGTCTCTGGTCATCTCTTGTAGTATGTCTGCAGTCTCTGGTCATCTCCAGTAGTATGTCTGCAGTCTCTGGTCATCTCCTGTAGTATGACTGCAGTCCCTGGTAATCTCCTGTGCTATGTCTGCAGTCTCTGCTCATCTCCAGTAGTATGTTTGCAGTCTCTGATCATTTCCTGTACTATTTCTGCAGTCCACTGGTTGAGAATATTTTTTTTCTTGTTTTCCACCTCTAAAGTCTAGGTACAATTTATTGTAGACCAGGGGGCATAGAGGAGGCTGAAGGTGACCTGTTGATGGAAGGGGGCATAGAGGAGGCAGAAGGTGACCTGTTGATGGAAGGGAAAATAGAGGATAAGGAGGCAACACCTAATTATAAAACATTGGTAGAAGTTGAGAAGTAAGGCCCGAAGCAAAAAAAAATAAGTGCAGGGCATACATGACCGTGGGTATAGGGGGATAGTACAGGAGGTAAGGGGTTAACAAACGACAGGGCATTGTTTAAAGAAGTTGGCTTACCTGATTGGTAGGGGGATCGTTATGGCGGGGTGTGGGCATGATTGTACAGGTGGGGATGTGAGCTGTGCAGGTCAGTCGTTTTCAGCGGATAAAGAAGATGCTTCCCTCCCTCCCACCTTGTTATTTGTTTGGATTATACAAGTGTCATGGCAGCTTGGTGGTTGTTGGTCTTTGGAGGAGGTAAATTTCAGGCCTAATACAATGGTTTGGGACCCATCAGTGGTATGAGGTTCTCGGGTGCATTCCTGTTTATGATGGGTTACCTCGGAATAAAAAATGGAGGTCATTGCGGATGGGGAGGATTGTCTCTGAGCCGGAGTGTTTTGGCTGGGGGCCTAGTGTAGTAGGTGACGGTTTCTGCAGTAAAGCTGTCTGTTTTAGGCTCCATGCATACTGGGTGTTTTAATAACACTGGTAACGTTAGCTGTGTAAAGCTTTTCAGCTTTTTTTTTTTTTTTTTTAGCATTTTTGAATTAGCGTCTAGCGGCTGTTTTCCACGTTTCCTCTAGAAACCCACAAGTTCTGGTGTTTTTTTTCCAGCCAAAAAAACGTCCATGCCAAAAAACGTTGATTACTATTCTGACTCAACTACAGGACGATAAACTTTATCTCCCACGATGTATACAGCTATACCACGTGGTGTTGAATTTATCGCTTGCATCGGGTCAGATAGTTTAATTCAATGAATAAACTCACATATTGAGGAAGCCAGGTGAGGAAATCTATTTGAATGTTACATTTAATGGAGAATATCATAGGTAGAAAAACGTTAATGTTGTAGCATCATGGAAAGATGCATTCAGGATACAGTGGAATGATTACAGGGAGAGGCAGGGGGGATGAGAATACACAAGTAAGGTGAGAGAAAGAGCTCAGCTTAGAAAGAAGGAGACAGCTTAAAGTCACAGAGCAATAATAAACAAGTGATGGTCACAGAGAAATAATAATAAATCAAATAGTGTAACACAACAATTACAGTCTATGTACATATGGACACATAGGATAACATGCTGGGGGGTTTACTGGCTGTAGAAAAAACTGTCAAAAGCCAAAAACAGCTGCTGTAAAAACTTCCAGTGTGCATGAGGACTAAGTGCTCTCAAAAGCCCAACAAACTCCGCTATTATCTGTGTTAGGGTATTATGGTACTGTTATGTTAATTTGAATTTTGTTATGAAGAGGCTGCTATGGCCATTTTACTCCAAAATCTTGGTTGGGTTTATTAGTGTCATGAGGATGGGTTGGAGGGTAAATGGTTAAGCAGTCGGTGGTTAAAAGTGGGATGGACATCTACTCTACACTAGTCATGAAGAGAAGTAGCTGACCAGGGAAGAAAGAGGCAGTGTGAGAAAGAGAGAAGACTGAAAGTAGATGACCATGGACATGGGAAAGCGATAGAAGACCACTGGATATGCTCATAGACAGGGGATAGAGGAGGAAAAGTAAGATCTGATCATGGACCATTGGGAGAAAAGGTAGAGTGAGGCTGACTATGATTGTGGCTGGTGGGAAGGAGATAGCGGTGATCATGGACAAGGAAGCGATGAGGTAGAGTGGAACTAAATTTTGCTAGGTGGTAGAGAGAAGAGAGGACTGACAATGGATCATGTTCCACTGGGAGAGGATACAGAGGAGGAACCAGTTGTGAATCAGAAGAAAAAGATAGAATAGGCAAAGAGAGCTGATCATGGATGGGGGTCAGGTATGAAAAGTTCTTATTCTCTCCTAAAGGAACAAATGGCAGTTCAAACCCTTTTCCCCCGATCTGTGCAGTCACTGAGCTGCTGTTTTCACCAACTAAGACACACCACATCCATATGTCATTTATTGATATAGAGAAGTAGATCCAAATAGTACAACATGCAACCATTAGACAGAAGTGTAAAATCCAAATCCAGGCAACATTTTAATTTTCTATCAGGTTATTATTGCCCTCTATGCTCCCATTTTGTGTATGGGCTTCACAGTGACTGAAATGAAAAAAATGTCTGGAGTCAGAATTTAGAGGATATTCATTGAACATGTTTTCACCATCAGGGATTCCCAGCCTTGGATGGAAGGGTGCTGTATATGGATCTGTCCTTATGATTTAATTGCTGTTCAAAGAAAGAAAGAAGATTGATTTCATTGGCACATATTTATTGGTAGAGACACTGCAAATATTTGTAGTCAATGTTTGACAAAGGCTCCTATACTTGTCACAGGAAATGCCAAGTTCACTGTAAAGCACTGGCAGGCTACATGAACAGTCAACAATATTCTTTTTTTTTTTTTTACATACTAAGTGTTAGTGTTGGGCTCCATGTGTGAGTCGAACCTAACACACAAACAGCAGTGGTGTTCGCTCCACAATGCACTGCACAAGTCAGGTGCAATACTTTGGCCAATCACAGCGCAGGAAGATTTTAGGCGATCTCTGAAAACCTCCTCTCCTCGCAAGACCTCCTCCTCTATAGCTCCCTTGTCTCCTCCTCCCATGCTCGTCTCCACGACTTTTCCAGAGCTTCCCCCATCCTCTGGAACTCTCTACCCTGATTTATCAGACTATTGCCTACTCTGCTCACTTTTAGGCGATCTCTGAAAACCTATCTCTTTAGGGAAGCCTATCCTGCCCTCAGCTAATAATGGAATCTTCTATTCCTCCTACCAGTCCATCCCCCACAGTTATTACCTTTTGTACCACTAGCCCGTCCCTCTTAGATTGTAAGCTCCGAGGAGCAGGGTCCTCCTAAGCCTTTTGTATTGAACTGTATTGTTGCTATATTGTCTCCCGTTATATTGTAAAGCGCTGAGCAAACTGTTGGCGCTATATAAATCCTGTATAATAATAATATGTCTGTACGCATACTTTTGTGTTTGGTATATACCCACATACAGCCATTGATTTCTATGGTTGACTCTACACAGCACCTGTGGCTCCAGGCAAGGAAATACTCCTGAATTTACATTATATGGCCCCATGTGCCTGACTGAAAAAGACCTAAGTAACTCTACTTGGATATTGCCTTTCTTCAGTAGGTACAGTTCCACATTTCGGCTTCTCCTACTTCCCTTAGGCTGGCCAGATGATGGTGGATTGCATTGGGCATTGGTGCTCTGATTACAGCAATATGGATACACGATGGGCTTGATTCAAATGCAAACACTTGTAAGTTTCATTACCGCTTTCTAAAATTGTTTCAGTTGATTTATTATATTTTTCTTCTGGACATTCAAGGCTGGTAAGTATTGGTAGTGAAGAAGGGGTACAATGATCTTCCAGGGTGAACACATCTGTTTTATTATCCTGTGACATATGATAAATCATTTCTTGCAAGTTGTTTAATTTAGAAAAAATCCCAAAGGAAAACCTAAAGACAAATAACAATATAGATACAATTAAATACATAAAACACACACTAAATATAATATATATTGTACTTTAGCAAACATGTGCGTACTCGTGTATACAGTGGGGCAAAAAAGTATTTAGTCAGCCACCAATTGTGCAAGTTCTCCCACTTAAAAAGATGAGAGAGGCCTGTAATTGGCATCATAGGTAGACCTCAACTATGAGAGACAAAATGAGAAAAAAAATCCAGACAATCACATTGGCTGATTTGGAAAGAATTTATTTGCAAATTATGGTGGAAAATAAGTATTTGGTCACCTACAAACAAGCAAGATTTCTGGCTCTCACAGACCTGTACCTTCTTCTTTAAGAGGCTCCTCTGTCCTGCACTCATTACTTGTATCAATGGCACCTGTTTGAACTTGTTATCAGTATAAAAGACACCTGTCCACAACTTCAAACAGTCACACTCCAAACTCCACTATGGTGAAGACCAAAGAGCTGTCGAAGGACACCAGAAACAAAATTGTAGACCTGCACCAGGCTGGGAAGACTGAATCTGCAATAGGCAAGCAGCTTGGTGTGAACAAAGAAAATTAGAAAAATGGAAAGACATACAAGACCACTGATAATCTCCCTCGATCTGGGGCTCCACGCAAGATCTCACCCTGTGGGGGTCAAATGATCACAAGAACGGTGAGCAAAAATCCCAGGACCACATGGGGGGACCTAGTGAATGACCTGCAGAGAGCTGGGGCCAACGTAACAAAGGCTACCATCAGTAACACACTACGCCGCCGGAGACTCAGATCCTGCAGTGCCAGACATGTCCCCCTGCTTAAGCCAGTACATGTCCGGGCCCATCTGAAGTTTGCTAGAGAGCATTTGGATGATCCAGAAGAGGATTGGGAGAATGTTATATGGTCAGATTAAACCAAAATAGAACTGTTTGGTAGAAACACAACTCGTTGTGTTTGGAGGAGAGAGAATGCTGAGTTGCATTCAAAGAACACTATACCTACTGTGAAGCATGGGGGTGGCAACATCATGCTTTGGGGCTGTTTCTCCGCAAACGGACCAGGACGACTGATCCATGTACAGGACAGAATGAATGGGGACATGTATCGTGAGATTTTGAGTGCAAACCTCCTTCCATCAGCAAGGGCATTGAAGATGAAACGTGGCTGGGTCTTCCAACATGACAATGATCCCAAACATACCGCCCGGGCAACGAAGGAGTGGCTACGTAAGAAGCATTTCAAGGTCCTGGAGTGGCCTAGCCAGTCTCCAGATCTCAACCCCATAGAAAACCTTTGGAGGGAGTTGAAAGTCCGTGTTGCCCAGCGACAGCCCCAAAACATCACTGCTCTAGAGGAGATCTGCATG